TGTGCATTTTGATTTTGTTTTTTTTTTTTCTTATTTTTGCTTGGGTTTTTCTTTGACTTGACGAAACTTAACGACGAAGCTTGAGTCGCATATGCATGTGTGTGTGTGTGCATTGCGAAATGTAGGCTTACAGTTAGCCAAAATGCTCAAACTCTTGCACTCTCTCACACACATGTTAATCTCGATGTGTGTGTGTGTGTGTGTGTGTGTAGCTTACTTACATATGTATATGTATATACAATATGCATATGCATTGCTTCATTCTCTACTCTTTGGCGATCCTGTTCTCTGTAGCACACACACACACGCACACACACATACGCTTGCATGCACACGTACATTTGCAAACGTCACGTCGCATTGTGTGCTTTATCAGTGAGTTGAATTATATTTGACTTGCAAGTTTCTGTGTATATATACATACATATATATATATGTTTTGTGTGTGCATTGATTACTCGCCAACTGGATGGATGACAGCAGCCAGAGACGACTTAGAAACAGTAACCAACAACAATAATAACAAGAACAACAACGGCGATTGGACCCAACGACCGACTGTCGATTGATTGAGCAACGTGCCCATATCTCGGGTTCGCCTTCATCTCTGCCTTTCCCCTGCCTTCAGTTGCATGCTATGTCATTCCCCACATTTCCAACCCTCACTAAATTTCTGACCAGCTGTTTTTGTTGTTGTTGTTGTTTAGGGGTAAAGCTGCTACACTGATAGGGAGAGAATGAGAAGAAGTAGGGGGAGGCGGGGGATAAACAAATGATGGAGCTGCTGGTTGCTGCCTGCTGCCTGCGTCGACGTCGATGTCGCTGTCAGCGTCTGACTGGGTGCCCCATGTGTTAATTACCAAGTCAAATTTGCCTTGCGACAATTAAAACGATCGAATGAGGGAGACAATAGAAGGGAGTGGTGAGTAAGAAATAAGGAGTAGAGAGAGAGAGTGTAGAGTAGAGAACAGGGAATAGTGAAGGGAAGGAGTAGAGAGTGGAAAGTGGAGAATCAGCTCTATGGAGTATTTTATATGGGGTGCTTTGTGGAAGGAGTGCGGAGAGTGGAGACTAGAATGTCAAATGGAAACGATAGAAGATGGAACAAGTGAGTCGTGAAGCAAAACAATGGTTTCGATTACTGTCAGCTGAGTGGAAACTTTTGCAAACTTGAGCCTATCGATTAATTCGATTTGTGGTTGCTATCGACTTGAATTGAATGCATTGCCGATAGATTACTTCGATTCTTCTGAAAAATCCCTCACATTTTAATTGAAATTCTTAGAACTTGATTTTTCCATTATTTTCGATCTTTATCCGCTAAATTTGTCGCTGCTGCTGTTGCTTTCCAGCTAAATTTCCAGTTTTGACAGATACTCGTAACTAATTGCTAATGTTATTCCCCCCCGTTTCCAGTAGTCTATCTCTGTATATAAACATGTAAATAAATATAGTATATAAGCGCCATTAGCTTGCCTCCCCCTCTACGCTGCCACGCCTCCCAATTCCCTTTCAGCTCTGTTTAGTTACCTGTTCGTGCAGGTTGTTGTTGTTGGTTTTACCTTAGCAATATAAATAACACCTATAATAACTATGTATTCATTTTCAATTCGCAGTTCGTGTTTATGCATGTGAGTATGTGTGTGTCGGTGTGGACACCCGCATTCCACCCCCTAGCTGCCCCTTGGCCGCCTTCTACCTGTTCCATTAGCTTTGATCTGTGTGCGCAGAATAAAGCGCGAATCTCTTGCCCTCTCGCTCTAACACTCACTCTCCACGCGATGATATGCTTGTATTGGTGTTAGCTCATCGAGGTTATGGATATTGCGTCGTCGACGTCGCCGTCGCTGCTGTCGTCGTTGTTGTTGTTGCTGTTATAAACCAGTTAGTCAGTCAGGCAGTCTTCAGCATCACACAGACACACACCTGGCTACACATCTGTGTGTGTGTGCGTGTGTGTGTGCGAACGTGTTTACGAGACAACAGCAACAACAACAACAGCAAAGGCAGCAGCAGCCAAACCAAGCCAAGCCAATCCAAGCCACAAAGGCAGCAACAACAAAATCTTACCTAACAGCGTCCAATACATATTTACATATGTATATAAATACAAACACACACATACATATAAATATATATTGTAATCATATGTGTTGTTATGCTAAAAAAAAAACAATCATAAAATGTCAAATTGGGAGTTGATGTGCTAAATTGAACCGGAACTTCGTCAAGCTCTCTCACAGCGCAAGCAACACAAAGTGAGAAAACCAAAAACAACAAACAAATGAAGCAGAATCAAGGCAAGGTCTTAGCAGCAATAAAAGCTCCCAGCTACACAGCAGCAAGCGCAACATGTCTACAAAGCAAATGTTGCCAACGGCATGCACACACACACACACACACACACACGTATATGAATGTATGCATGCACACAGCGTAAGAGCCCGCAGACTGCAAAGAAAAGTAAACTTATTTTCATTTTCAAATGAAAGGGAAATTCTCACCTAGATGAAAGATGTGGCGAGCAGCACACACACATACAGACAGACAGAAAACTTGCCTAACCGAAGACACACGCACACACACACACATATGTATAGACAGTCAGAGCGAATGCGTATATAGCGCAAAAAGCAAAAGCAAAAACCACAGCAGCAACAAGCAAGAGTGGCTCAGTTGACGTCGCAGYCGCAGTCGCAGCGGCGCTCTGATCTATTTGTCTGCTTTTTATTGTATAGGCCGGCCACACAGCCTAAGCGTTCGCTGATTGCCGAATTGGGCACAGGGTATGCGGGCAAGGCGGGCTGTGCTCTGTACTCCTGTTTATCTTGTCTTTTGTGCACACGCATATATATCGAGAT